TAATAATTAACATATTCTTGCTTGAAATTTGTGCGGGAAATGTATTATGGAATCTTTTTGTTTGTTTTTGAGACAGGGGTCTCGCTTTGTTGCTGGGGCTAGAGTGCAGTGGCTCTGTCACAGCTCACTGCAACCTTGGCTCCTGGGCTTCAGCGATCCTCCAGACTCAGCCTCCCAAGTAGCTGGGACTACAGGTGTGTGCCACCACACCTGGCTAATTTTTTTGTAGAAAAGGTAGAAAAGGGGTCTTGCTATGTTACACAGACTGGTCTTGAATTCTTGGTCTCAAGAGATCCTCTCACCTTGGCCTCGCAAAGTACTGGGATTACAGGAGTGAACGTATGGTCTCTTATGGAATCTTACAGTTGAGAAAAACCTAAAATACATAATTTTACTTGCTTTGCAATATTTTCATTAAGATATTCAGTTTTACTTCTGTTGCTTTCTGAATAGGATCACTATAGTAACAGTTTATCGTTGGTTAAAGGTAAGCCTGGGTTGCTGCTCTCTGTTAACTAATTTTTCTTTTATCTGTATTTACACTGGAGTAACTGGTTCACTCTTTGTATTGTATATTTTGTGGGTTTGAATAAATGTGTAATGATATGTATTTACCATTACAGAATGTGAATTAGCTCTTTTATTTCTAGGAAGCCTTTTGTATCATGGATACAAATTCATTTCTTAAATTCATTTTATTTGGTTAATTAGGCTCTCAACTACAATCTGAGCAAAGAAGGACATTTAGAAAAAGAACCTTGGAATACATTCAGCCATCATAACCCGGTTAATGTCTCCATGGGTGGAATTTCTTGCATTCTCTTCTGGGCCAAAAGAATCGCAGTTAAATTTAAGAATCAGACCTGGCTGGACCTTACAGATGAAGCATTTGGTCAGAAGGCAACAGTGGACACTAGCAACTCAAATTGCAGTGAAGAAAGTGCCTCGTAAGTTGATCTCTCTGCTTGAGGAAGCCCTTGGGGCCATTGCAGTCTGTTAACTGCACATATGTAGTATTTTTGTAATTTCAGAAAAAATAAGTGGGCTTCTTTGTATATGACCCTGACACACATCTTTGAGGAAGTGTTTAATGTCTAAAATGAAGGGCAAGTCAGAAATCTACTTTAAAAAATTGTTATATTGTTTCTATTGATTTTCTTCTGAACCTTTTAGCTAATTGCCATAATAACTTATGGAAAATGAGAGTTCTGAAAATAAGGGCTCCCAAACTCATTCTGGAAAAAGAGAAAAGAATTCCAGGCTTGGTCTCAACTCAAAATGTTAGGTGTCAATCTACTTTTGTCCCACTGGGAAAGAAATTACATATCCCAGCAGGGTCATACATATTCTAGTGGGTGAAACACTAGCCTGGACAAATGTTTGACTCTAGAGAGGGTTTCTGAAATTGTGAAACACTGTCTGTTTGCAAATGTGCAAGGGTACTTTGAGTGGCCAAATTTCAGAGAATTCTTTAGGACAGTACAAAATAATTAGAATAATTAGTTTTGATTTGAGATAAGCAGATTAAACAAATATCCCTTTCAAAGAGCAAATCAATTTCCAATGTCTTTCTCTGCTTTTCAGTCAAGCAAGCAAATATTTTTGTTTTTATTTATTTTGGTTCAGAGGGAGGAAATCTGGCACTTGCTTTCTATAAAACTTCTTTTTGACATTTGTTGGTATTAATGGAATAGATGCTTTTGGAAGATTCTCTGCATTTGTTCTGGCCTGGTTTAGATGGGTAGGATGCTTTGCGTAAACCATAACATATTGTGTGTGTGTGTGTGTGTGTGTTCTTTTTATATTTTATACACTTTGACTGGAAACACCTTTTTATTCCTGAACTTTACTTCTCATTTAAAAATTCTTGATAATGGGTAAAAATGAATTATATTAATATACACTTAAAAGTCATATTACAAGTCTTAGTAAGTATCTTGCTATTCAGAATGACTATCTCTTGTTAGGGACTTAGGGAATTGTAAGTGTAAGCATTCAGAGTCCTCTCAGATTCGTCTATCCTGTTACAGCATAACTGTCAACGACTATCAGAAGGACTCCAGCACTGCTGAGAACTCAGGACTTTTTTCTCCGGTGCCAATGAACTCCTCCAGGCCTTTTTATTTGTGGTCAGCTACGTGGAGAGTGGCAGATAGTGGGGGATAGTCTTGCCTATCCATGGCTGACTGGCTGCCTTGATTCCATTGATCCCCAGTGGAGGGTATTAATGGGGAAAATCAGGGTGCCACAGCTTTTTTGCTGGGCTTTAGAGACCTCAGTGATCACTGGAACCCAGAGATGGAAAGAATGAAAACTTGGCTGCTAGGCCCAGTTCTGCCAGAGCTCTGTGACTTCATAGACAGGACCTGTAGGATGAAGACCTGTCGGGAGGAGATGATGGCATCTACTCACTGTAGCTAACAGGCCTTGAGCGTTTGCCGCAGGCCAGGCTCTGTCTGTGCAGGGTCTTCACAGGCCCCATATCTGTTCCTCTCAGTAACTCTCTGAGGCACGGGCACTGTTACCATCCTTGTTCCAGATGTTCCAGGAAATCAAGGCTCAAAGAGGTTAGGAAACTTGCAAGTCACACAGTGTGTACATTAATAGATCTAGGGTCTAAAGTGTCTTTAACAATGACATTATACCTCCTCCCTCTTGGCCCTATCTCATAGGGTTGTGAAAATCAAATGAAGAAATGTACGCGTAATGTCAAGTCTTCCTTCCTCACCCATGGATGATAACTAGAGTGAAATAGTGTCTAGTTATCTCGGCAAGCTTTGGTTTTCCCAGCACACAAATTAACAATTGTGCAGGACCTGGTCACCGCCCTAGAATTCTTCTTGGGTGAGAGCCCTGAGTGTGCAGCATCCACCTGCTGGGGTCCTGCTCAGGTGAGTTGCAGGTGTCCTGGACGGACCCCCCAGAGAGGGGAGCTGGAGGCTTCCCGGGAATGAGGTGGTCGAGGACCAGCTGCTGAGACTTAGCGCCCTTGATTCCCATGAATAGCGCAGATGAGTGAGATGCCCTTGCTGAGCTGGTGAGGAAATCTCATGTTCTCAAGAACCAGAATGGGAGGTGCTGAAGGAACAAATCCAAGCAAAGACATAACCATGTAAGGTCAAAAGCACGGATTAAAAAAAGATGACCATGTTTTAGCTCTTGGAAACAAAATGTTCGGGGAGAGGCATATTGTTGGCAGACGGATTTGCTACGGAAGTCTTTTTAAATAGTGAAAGCCCTGCAAATAGAGCATAATCCCAGCATCTGTGTATATTTTGAATTTAGGCAATTATAGCCGGAGGAATTCAGAATCCTTTTTACATCTGTGAGAATAGGGCACTTGATAGAGTAAAAAGAGGTCCTTTCTGAACAAAGCGCCCTGTAGGTTTCACTCTCCTTTGTGTTCCCAATTGATGGTGTAGTGCCTGGCACTTCAAAGATCCTCACTGAATGTCTGTCAAGTTTACTTTGCTGAAATAAGCTCAAATAAGTTCTCATGTTCTTTACTCCAAAGCAGAGGATATTAACAAGCTTCCATCGAAACCAGGACCAAAGGAGAGAAGCTCTTTGGGGGGTCAGAAGTTCCCTCCAGCCACTCCTGCCTCTCCATATAAAAATTGATCTGCTTTCTATCATTACAGATTAGTTTGCCTGTTCTAGAATTTTATATAAATATAGTCAGATCATGTGCATTCTCTTTTAGTCTGGCTTCTTTCACTTAGCATAATGATTTTGGTAAGCTTCTATGTTATTGCATGTATTAGTGGTATGTTCCCTTTCATTGCTGAATGGTATTCCATGGCATGGATGTACCACAACTTATTTATCCATTCACTTGTTGATGGAGGTTTGCCTTTCCCTTCAATTTTGTATATCTTTCCAAATAAAGTCACTATGAATATTCGTGCACAAGTCTTTGTGGAAGCAATTATGTTATTTTTTAAATTTTTTTAAAATTCTTTTATTTTTTTGAGACAGAGTCTCACTCTGTTGCCTGGGCTAGAGTGGCAGCAGGTATTTTAATTTCTCTTAGGTGTTATTCTACCTAGAGGTAGAATGGCTGGATCATATGGTATGTGTGTGTTTAACTTTTGAAGAAACTGCCAAATTTTTTTTTAAAGAGATTGCACCATTTCCCCTTTCTGCCAGCATCGTATGAGAGTTCCATTTGCTTGACGCCCTCACTAATGCTTTGTATGGCAGACGTGAGACTGGAGAGAAAACATTTTTATGTTTCTGCTAGTTTAGTAATTTCTGAATAAATTTTACTGGCACGTTGGGTATAAGCTAAGCCTTGGAGGTAGTAAGAAATTTGCCTCTTTGGAGAAATGAGTTTATATGTCAAGGGACAATGAAACCTGGGATTATAGAGACATTCCAGGGGTTAGAAACCCAAAGGGTCTTATCTTCCCCTTGGAGACACTTATTTACGAACTGTAGATATTAGACCTGCAGCCATTTGTCTCCTCCATGGTGGGCTGTTTGCTCCAATCCAAAGGCTAATTAAACTCTTCTGCTTACATGCTGGAGTAGGTGCCTGCGATTGTCCCTCTTCTCTTCCCAAGGAGAATTCATTGGCATCAAGGGAGCACATGTTTCTCTCCCATTCTCAGGAGGTGAGAAGGGAACCATCATCTTTCTCCTATATAAACTCCCAGATTCATAATCTTGGTGTTCCTCATCTGTATTGCAAATCACAGTATGTATAGGATAACATCTGGCTCTTGCTGTGTTGCCTAGGGGAAAGAATTGGGTTGAAAGGGGAACCAATGCAGTATTCCTATGAGTAAGTAATAATTGATCTGTATCTGCTCCAGGAAATCTTATGTTTACTCTCAGGAAAATATGAATAAATATAGGTATTAAAAGCTTAAGAGTCAGTTTAAAAAATATTTTAACCATTGTAATTATCATACTATGGTATTTTATTGTGGTTTTATTTTACATTTTCCAAATGTTTAATGATGTTTGGCATCTTTTCATGTACTTATTGGCTATTTGTATATCTTCCTTTATACAGTGTTCAAGTCTTCTGACTTCTTTCTTTTTTTTTTTTTTTTGAGATAGGGTCTCATTGTCTCATCTAGGCTAGAGTGCAATGGTGTCATTATACCTCACTGCAACCTTAAACCCCTTGGCTCAAGCGATCCTCCTGCCTCAGCCTCCCTGGTAGCTGGGACTACAGGCGTGTGCCACTACACCCAGCTTTTTTTAAAAAATGTATTTTTGTAGAGACATGGTCTTGATAGGTTGCCCAGGCCAATGTCAAATTCCTGGCCTCGAGTGATCCTTTCATCCTCCTGCCTTGGCCTCCCAAAGTGTTAGAATTATAGACATGAGCCACTGTACCTGGCCATTTTTTGTTTTCTTAACAATGTCTTCTAAAAAGTTTTTGATTTTAATAAAGTTCAATTTATCAATCTTTTATGGTTCATGCTTTTGTATTTTTTTCAATAAACCATTGCCTACCTCAAGATTATAGAAATTTTCTTCGATGTTTCTTCTATATATTTTGTAGTTTTAGGTGTTACATTTAGGTCTATGATCCATTTTGAGGTAATTTTTGAGTATAATGTGAAGTATGGGTCATTCCTATTTTCATGGACTATGTTTCTGTTTTTTAGATTGTCTCTGAAGTTTGGTGATGCTGAAAATCCCAAAGGTCTTGATATAAGGTAAGTAGGATACCACTTGGGAATCTCATAGTTTCAGCATTTCATGTTAGCTCTATGTAATTTATTCATTCCACATGTGTGTATCAAGGGCTTGTTGTGTGCCTAACTACTGTGACACATCAGATGCCATGTCTACGTAATTACACTGAAAAATCAGCAGTGTGATATGACAGGGGCCTTATAGCAATGCTCTTTTTCGTTTCTACCAAAGTACCTATAGTTCTCTTCTCCTCAGTTAGGGACTTAGAAAACTCAAGAACCTGAAAATGTGATACCCTTTTCCTCTGTGCAAAAAATAAAATATAAATAAAGTGTCAAGGGCTGGGGATCTTGTTTGAAATTATCTTCTAGAGCTCCTTACAATGAATCACTCTTACCATTTAACTACAAAGAAGAAGCCTCAGTTATCTGAATTCCCCAGCAGACAATCAACACAGGCCTACAGTTTTTTGTGTTTTGGAAGGATGCATCTGCCAACAGTAGTTTTATCCAAGCAGTTAGGAACTGCTCTTGGGTGGGGGACAATTTGAAGCCATTAATTTTTTTTTCTTATAAAAGTATAGTGTTTCTCTTCTTATAGGACAAACCCTTTAGTGGAGATAAGTAGTTGTTCCTTTAACATTTTTTGGAAAACCAGCAGGATGTTCTAGGGCAGTCTTTCCTAAGTTGTGCTCTGTGGAACACTTCAGCTTTGTGAAAATATTTATAAGATTCCACAGTAAAGAGATTCTGTGGTCAAATGTGTTTGGGAATAACTATAGACCACGTCTTCCTCTTGGAGATTTACAGCGTGAACTTGTATATTAAAGGTTCTAAGAAGACATGTTCTTAAGTCATACTGTTGCTCTTTGGAACTTTGAGTAACCTAGTGTTTCCTATGTTTAACCTAGGAAAGTTTTCTTCCTCACTACACTTGTTTACATAGCATGGGACACTAGTGTTTAATCACATTTAGAAAATATGTACCATCATCTTTTGGAGCAACTTTATAAGTAAATATAATCCCACAAGGTGACCAACACACATATCTGTTTGATAGAGAAATGGGGAATATTTTTGATACATAATAGCACTTTTTCCCAAATGGAAAATAGCTTTATTATGATTATTTTTTTTTTCCTGATGATAAAGGTATGTAGCAGAAACTGTCACTACTATGTCTATACCTACTTGGGCCTTTCCATTTGAGAGCACTAGAGCCCACCTGCTTAACTTTCAACTGCTAACCTCTCTGCCTAAAAGCTGTCTTGGGCCAAAGGGGCCCACTGCCTCCCATCTCCAGGCCGGCAGCCCTTAGCCAAGGACTGAAGGAAATGTATAAATATCTCAGCGCCCTCTCCCTCAGGTGGGGTAACTAGAGGCATGTGCTCTCCTCTGGCTCCCCACTTGTCAACAGTGGAAACTTGCTTAAACATGTGCTACCTTCCTGGCTACCTTCCCGTCCTGTCAGTTCTCTTCTTTCTACTCTACATATTTTGAATGACTAAATCCCCCAAAATGCTTCTTGGATTCGCATCCTTGTCTCAGGGTCTGCTTCCAAGGGGGCACAAACTAAAACACGAAAAACCATTGAAAACAGAAAAATCAGGAAATATTGAGCTATAAAAAGGAGAAAATGAAAATCACTAATAATCCAAGCATTATTTGTAACCACTATTAATGTTTTAATCTGTATCCTTTCAGACTTTTTCCCTGTTTGGTCACACATTTTTTAAGACGACAGCAAAAGGATCGTGACATATGTACATTATAACTTTTTCATGGCTGGAGAACATTCCATTCCAGAATGGTTAAGGGTAAGGGCTCTGGTGTCAGATTGGATTGAAGCCCAGTTCCAACTACTCTCTGAGGCAGCTTGCACTGTTATTTAACCCCTTTGTGTCTGAGTTTCCTCGTCTGTGAAATGAGGACAATGATATTATATATCTTAAAGTGTTGTAGTGAAGAGTAAATAAAATTCGGATAAATAACGTAAAAGGGTGACAGACACATAGTAAAAAAGCTATTACTATTATTTTTAGCCACAATTTAGCTAGTTCTTTATTGATATCTATTTAAGTTCTTTTTCAATTTTTAGGTAATAATAAACGCTTAATCAAGTGTTGATTCTAAAAAAGAAAAAAGCCAAGCGGTCTGTGTTTTTTATTTTTTAGAAATTTGTATTGCTCACTCTTGGGGGCTGCTCTGTCATTCGCTTGCCCCTCTCCCCGCTCACCCAGGGGGGCTCTGGAACCACAGCGACGCCGCTCCCAGCCAGTTCTGCCGCCGGACAAAAGAGGGCGCCATCGTACTGTTCACGGGCGACGTCCTGAGTCAGTAAAGGCAGTAAAAGTGCTTTGGGGGTAACACTGTTTTATCACCATTTTCAGATTCATCCTTAGCAATTACAAGTTGTCCGTCCAGAGCTGGTTTAGTTTGCACCGCGTCGAGATTATCTCCAACAACTCGATCCAAGCGATCTTTAACGCCCCTGGCGTTCGCGCCCCGTCGCGTTACTCCTACCGCTGCCGGCGCGTCAGCAGCCTGCGGCGGGGTGGCGCCCTCTTGCTGCCCAGCGACTCGGACGCTGTGACGGGCCTGTGGGAGGTCACGTTTGTTGATTTCCAGGTAACAAACTAAACATATGCTCAATGCGTCTGTGTATTTGGTGCCAAAGAAACTCAATTTTTGTTTAAAAACATCTGAAACAAACATTGATGTTTAAGGGAAAGAGAAGTGGATACCGCTAAAATAATATTGGTGTTTTCTTTCCTTTTTCTTTTAAGGTATGAAATGGAACAGGATAGAGAATTTCCTCTCCCTGAGGCCCCACCTCCTACCAAGGGCTTGCTTTTACATTCGGGTTTATCCAGTCACGAATAATTATCAGTGAGGAATGCCAGCCATCTCGGCCCTGGTGACGCTCTGGAACCCGGTGACTGACACTTCCTGGGCGGAGAGGCCTTTCAGGGGAGAGGCACTGTGGGACAATTATTTTATTTCCTTCAGGGAGTGGAACAGTGATCCTATCAGGGCAGATAAGAAGTACGTCTGTACTGTGAGTGACAGCTTTGGCAGCTAGCATAGGAGTGGAATTGTCGGCCAGCGAGTCAAAAATATCCCAGAGATCTTCTTGAAAGTATTTGGGGAAAGACACGGGGGTGTGAGAGTTTCCTTTTCACCACTAGACTCTCAGGCTGAGAGACATTCTGCCAAGTTCCTCTATCCTGTTTACCTGTGAAAAAGCTTAGCTCGTTCTTCTAACTCACTGACAGAGCAGGCAGGGCTTTGCATGTTCCTTTCTTGGGCACTTTCCAATCTTTTTTATATAAATGGACATTCACATATATGTATATCTCCCCTGCTCGGCCGGGGTGTGGTATCGATGAGAGGCAGTTTGGGTTGGGAAGGAGTTTGCATTTTGAAGTCAGACAGACCTGGTTTCAAATTACTTCTCAGCCACCCGGGCAGGTTACTTAACCTCTCTCAATTTCTGACCTGACTTTAAGAATGTAAAAAATACATGGTCTAACATACGTGGAAACACCCAGGATCGTGTCATGTGTAGATTCTCAACAACTGTCACTTGTAAGTCCTCTGCATGTATTGGCACTCTTGTAGTTATTTTACGTACTTAATCTTCAAAACTCACAAAGCTATAAGATAGCTGTTATTATTCTTACTTTACAAATGAGGTGACTGAAGCTCTGATAATTACTTAATTTTTCAAAGTGATATAACTGGTAAATGGTAGAGGCAGAACTTGAATTCTAGATGGTTTAGTTCCAAGGATACTCTTTTATTTATACATACACACACACACACACACACACACACACACACACACACATACATATATATAAAATATTTATAAATGTTTATATATCACATATTGTATATGTGTCTCTGTATGTATATATACACCTTGCCATTTAAAAAAGAGAGTGCAGGCAGAAATGGCAGTGAGGAGGTAGTAATGAAAATAAAGAATAATTCACATAAAATCTTGCCTAATTACGCTGGGCGCCGTGGCTCACGCCTGTAATCCTAGCATTCTGGGAGGCCGAGGCGGGCGGATTGTTTGAGCTCAGGAGTTTGAAACCAGCTTGAGCAAGAGCGAGACCCCGTCTCTACTAAAAATAGAAAGAAATTAATCGGACAACTAAAAATATATGGAAAAAAATTAGCCGGGCATGGTGGCATGTGCCTGTAGTCCCAGCTACTCGGGAGGCTGAGGCAGGAGGATCACTTGAGCCCAGGAGTTTGAGGTTGCTGTGAGCTAGGATGACGCCATGGCACTCACTCTACCCAGGCAAAAGAGTGAGACTCTGTCTCAAAAAAAAAAAAAAAAAATCTTGCCTAATTAGAACAGGGCAATTGATTGATTTATATATCTACCTTGTTCCAGAAATGACTTAAGGTGACTTATAGAAAGACTACAAGAAAAATCACTTAAAAAAATGAGCCAACCACTTCACACCCATTAGAATGGCTATTATTATAAATAACAACAAGGCCGGGCATGGCGGCTCACACCTGTAATCCCAGCACTTTGGGAGGCTGAGACACAAGTATTGCTTGAGGCCAAGAGTTAAAGACCAACCTGGCCAATATGGGGAGACCTCATCTCTACCAAAAAAATAAATAAACAAAAATTAAAAAAATTAGTCAGGTGTGGTGCACTCGTGGTCTTAGCTACTTGGGAGACTAAGGCAGGAGGATCACTTGAGCCCACGAGTTCTAGGTTGCAGTGAGCTACGATTGCATCACTGCACTCCAGCCTGGGCAACAGAGTGAGACACTGTTTCTAAAATTAAAAACAACAACAACAAACAAAAAGAAAATAACGAGTATTGACAAGGATGTGGAGAAATTGGAATCCTTGTGCATTTCTAGTGGGAATGTAAAATGGTGCAAATGGTTTGGAACAAAGTATTGTGGTTCCCCCCAAAATTATTAATAAACATAGAATTACCAAGTGATCCAGTAATTCCACTTCTGGGTAATAACCAAAAGAACTGAAAGCAGAGACTTGAGCAGATATTTATACACCTATGTTCATAGCAGCATTATTCATCATAGCTAAAAGGTGAAAACAACCCAAATGTCTATCGACAGATGAATAGATCAACAAAATCTGGTATATACATACAATGGAATATTATTCAGCCTTAAAAGTGAAGAAAATTTGGATACATGCTACAACATGAATAAACCTTGAAGACATTGTGCTAAGTGAAATAAGCCAGGTACAGAAGGATAAATATTGTATGATTCCACTTACATGAGGTACCCAGAGTAGTTAAGTTCACAGAGGCAGAAAGTAGAATTGCAGTTGCCAGAGGCTGAGGCCAGGCAGGAATGAGGAGTCAGTGTTTAATGGATACAGAGTTTCAGTTATCTAAGATGAAAAGTGTTCTGGAGAGGATGGTGGTGATGGATGCACAACAATGTGAATGTCCTTAATAGCACCGAACTGTCCACCTAAAATAGCTAAAACGGAAAATTTTATGTTATGCATATTTTACAATTAAAAAAAACCAATATAATGGGCAAAGAAGAAAAACAAAGGAAGGAAAAAAGATCAATTAGAACCACGAGTGAGGTTGGTACACAAAACCACAAGACCATCTGTCTGTACTGGCTGGAGGCGGCAGGGTAATTTGGCTCTGAAGCTTCGAGAGCAGCCGGCATAAGAAAGAAATGCTCAGTTGCACATTCACAGGGTCCCTAAGACTGCTGAAAATTTGCTCATGATGCAGATATTCCTCCCTTGTGTAGTGCAATGCATACATCCTCAACGCATCCCGGCAGTAACACAGCATTGGGTGTCAGAGATGGGCCTGGGTAACATACCCTTCCTGGAAACCGATGGCAGAACGCACACTCGGCCCAGGTAGTGGTGATGCCAGCTGAGGTGTGTGTAAAAATGGCTGCTTTCCACATATGTAGCTTTGCTGCTCTGGATTATTCTAGCAATAGAGTATAAGGTGATGTCACATGCATGGCAAACTCAGATGCCTTGCGTAAATGGTGAGGTGGCCAGCTAGGGACTGTGGCAAAGTGTAGCTGGCATCAGAAGGAACTTTTTTTTCCTTTTATCTGTTTATTTTGAAAAATTGTAAACCTAAAGAAAAGTTACAAGAATAATAAGCACCTGTCCACCCTTCACCTAGATTTACTGATTTAAAAATTTTTTCATATCTTTAAAATTTTTTTTAAAAATTTCAATAGATTTAGGGGCACAAGAGGTTTTTGCTTACATGGATGGATTTTATAGTGGTGATATCTGCGTTTTTAGTGTACCCATCACTGAATAGTGTACATTGCACCTGATAGGTAGTTTTTCTTCTCTCACTCCCCTCCCAACCTCTCCTCTTCTGAGTCTCCAATGTCCATTATACCACTCTGCATGCCCCTGTGTACCCGTATCTTAGCTCCCACTTATAAGTGAGAACGTGAGGTATTTGGTTTTCCATTCTCGCATTGCTTCACTCAGGATAATGGCCTCCAGTTACATCTAAGTTGTTGCAAAAGACATCATTTCATTCTTTTTTTATGGCTGAGTAGTACTCCATGGTGTATATATACCACATTTTCTTTACCCACTTCTCAATTGATGGACACTTAGATTGATTCCATATCTTTGAAATTGTGAATTGCATTGTGATAAACACAATTGCAGGTGTCTTTTTGATATCATGATTTCTTTTCTTTGGGTGGATACTTGGTAGTGGGATTGCTGGATCGAATGGTGGATCTCCTTTTAGTTCTTGGAGAAATCTCCATACTATTTTCTATAGATGGTGTGCTGATTTACATTCCCACCTACAGTGTATAAGCATTTCCTTTTCACTGCACCCGTGCCAACACCTATTGTTTTTTGACTTTTTAATAATGGCTATTTTGACTGGGGTAAGGTGTTATCTCATTGTGGTTTTACTTTGCATTTCCCTGATGATTAGTGGTGATGTTGAACATTTTTTCATGTTTCTTGACCATTTGTGTCTCTTGAAAAATGTCTGGTCATGTCTTTTGCCCACTTTTTAATGGGGTTGTTTGTTTCTTGATTTGTTTGAGTTCCTTGTAGATTCTGGATACTAGTCCTTTGTCAGATGTATATTTCGCAAATATTTTTTTCGCATTCTGTAGGTTGTCTGTTTACTCTGTTGATTGTTTCTTTTGCTGTGCAGAAGCTTTTTAGCTTAATTAAGTTCCATTATTTATTTTTATTTTTGTTACATTAGCTATTGGGGTCTTAGTCATGAATTTTTTGCCGAGGCCAATATGCAGAAGAGATTTTCCTAGTTTTTTTTTTAATTATTATTTTTATGGTGTCATATCTTCCATTTAAGTCTTTAATCCATCTTGAGTTAATTTTTGTATATGTTGAGAAATAGGGATTCAATTTCATTCTTCTGCATGTGGCTATCTGGTTAGAAGAACATTTTTTAAATTCAACTCTGGCTGATTTTTGCTTTGTAGGAATGCAGGGCCAGTGTTACTGGATCTTCTGGCTTTTCAACAGAAGCTAGAAATCTGGATTCTTATGGGGAATTTTTAGGGTGTTCAGGACACTGGGCCAAAAAAACTTACCTGTTGGTTCCAAGGATAAGACACAGCATGTTTGTAACGCTAGTCCAGGAAATGGATGTACAACGTATCCTTCAGGCATTCTCCACACTTATATTCTCAACCAAGTCTTGCTAAGAATTGAGTGGCAGTCAGTCTGAGGAAATTCTCTTTGGCTGGAGTTGCAAAATCAAGTGAGCTCATCTTTTGTCATTGAGGAGCTCGTCTTTTCAGGCACTAGTCTGAAGAGGAGGCCACTCTGCCTCTCCATAGGACTGACAGGCTAAGGATCCCAGAAGCCAGAACAAGAGTCCCCTTTGGAAGCTGCTTTGGGTTCAATCTAGAGCACAGACAACTGGGTGAGCAACGGCCCTAACATGTCTGGCATGGTGGGTAGCCACAATAATTTTAGCATAGGAAAATGTTAAAATGCTCACTTAAGCCATAAAAGTGAGTTTTCAGTAAAGCACTTGTGGATAATTCAATTTTCTAATGTACTCTTTAAAAACTAAGTAGGTGACTGAATGACCTGATGCTGTGTCAGGTGTCATACTTTTAAAGCCAGCTAAATGGGGGGCTGCCTTCCCCAAATGATGGCTCTCATTTTAAAGTCATTGCTCTGTATTCCTGTTTCACTTTGACAGCATTAGATATCAGGGCGAGTTGTCAATTTGAACCTCTGCTAGTTTCAGGTAATAAAACCGTTTCATTTGCACATATGAGAAAGGTTTTCTTTCTATCCTCTGGGCAAGATGCAAGAGGGTCTGGTCTATAGCTCTTCCAAAAATGGTACCAAATCTGTATGGTACAGTCAATAAAGAGGGAGAGGTAGGTTGGGAGCAAAAAAAAGATAGAACACGCCAGGAGCTATGGACTCATAAGCCGAGCCTGAGTGAAGCCAGACTGCCCAGGTTTGAACTGTACCTTCACATCACTTACTGCTGTGTGGCTCTGGGCAAGTTACTTAATTTTTCTGTGCCTCGGTTTCCTGATCCATACAACAGGGATAAAATAGCAACTTATTCATAGATTCTTGTGCATACTAAATGAATTAAGGCAGTGTCTGATACATAAAAAACCTTCCATAAGTGTTAGCTTTTATTATTATTCTTTATGTTTGCCTCACTGGAAATCATGATTTCCTCCCTTAAAAGACTCTTCCAATCTAATTCCTGTCAATAGAATCAAAGGCAGAGGAACTGAGACTTAAAATCTTTGTGAAACTTATACTAACGCTTATAAAATTTTGAGCGTGCTTTGAATTTTAGAGGCACCACAACAGTTGTAGTTTTACATGAACTAGAATATTTCTAAGAATCAGATGAAACGAGGTTTTATTTCAGAGCCTTGAATTTCATGAGGCTCTTCATTAGGACAACATCCCGGAGTTTCTGGATCAGGCCTGATTTCAGATTAAGTTTCACTGTCCCCATAAGCACAATCACATTTGTCAGATCATATGTGTAAATTATTCAGCAAATGTGGTGACAGTCCATTAAGTTTGGCTAATTAGGGGCCCAGAACTGGCAGCTCCAGTGGGAAGTAAATGGCAGGTGAGGAGGAACGTACCCCTTCAGCTCTCGCCTTTCTCCTGCAGATCCAAGGCTTTGCCGTCAATGGGGGGCAGTTCGCCAAGGCCCTCGACTGTGCCTCTTCCTTCTCTCCAGCCGTTCTGATCGGCCTGGCGACGTCGCTGATCCTGTTGCTGGTGCTGGCCTACGCCCTGCACATGCTCATCTACCTGCGCTATCTGGACCGGCACTACGGGTTCGTGGCGTCTCCTGCCCACTTCCCGCAGCTGAGAGCTGGAGACGCGGCAGAAGAGAAGGAGCTGCTGAGGGGCCAGGGCGCGGAGGGCTTCGAGCTGAGAAGCCAACAGATCAGCAAAATTTACGTGTAACACGCAGCCTCTCTCTCAGCGGGCTCCGGAAGTTGTTTGTGTTCTGTGCTGTTGACTTGTGAATTAGAGGTTTCCACCGAATAGCTTGATTTTAAAAAAAGGAAATATGTAACGTTTCGAAGCATCCACTGGACGACTCAGATAGACTTGGTGCAATGAGAAAAAGGTATCACAGGGATCCCACAGAGATAAATATGACTGTTCGTTGCCCCAAAACAAACTTGAACGCAAAGTACTTTTTTGAGAGAGAGAATAAGAGAGAGCGAGAGAGAGAGAGAGGAGAGAGAGATGCAATATAGAGAGGAAAAAACACATAGGTGTGGTGATACCCTGTAGGCTAGGCTAGCTCTTTCTAATTTTGGTAGATAGCTTACAGACAGAAAATAATAGCTCAAGATTTTAAATTCATATCTCAAGGCATATTCTGGGGCATTGCTATGAGTGATCTAAAGGAATCCCTTACCTCTTGTCAAAGGACTGATATGGTCAAAAATCAGACATGGGGCTAATCCTGCAAATTGCTAACCCGCCCTACAGGTGAAATTCACAGCCTTGCCGGGTCTCTTATATGAACATGAGAATACTGATTACAAAATAGAGGAATCTTGAGACTAGGCATGGTCATTTCTGGGAGGATAGACAACTTTAAGAATATATAAGTCCCAAATTCCACTTAGTTTTTCTTGTTAGCAGAAGCAACCCCTGTGAGATGAAGCTATTCCTGCCTTTGCTTGATGACCCTGTGATGACCTCATCAGAAATAGTTATTTTGCCAGGGGGTGCCAATTTTCCTGATTGCCTTTAGGCAGCTAGAGGCACATTCTAGCATATCTCAGGGAACCAATTGCAAAGTCAAGTCTGGAAGAATAAAATTACAAAAATAAAATAAAAATTGCAAAAAAAATTTTGCTGACTTATGCAATAAAAGATTTGGGAGAATATATGTGGGAATGGATTCTGGCGGTGCTAGCCCAAAGAATAAGGTGAATAATTTAAGATTGGGCTGAATTTCTGATATGGGTCTCTTACCAGAGATTTTGGATTAAATGTGCAGGTTTGAGCACCTGGGAGTGTTTCTAACAGTTTGCTTAGGCATACACTAAATGAAGTAGAGAGATCAGAAATTCCTTGCCGTTATATAGAGAAAGAAATGTGGTAACTTAGAGAATTGGGATGTAGGAATGGATTTATCATGTGCGAACTGCTCTTCCTCCCTATATCTGTTTTCCTCTGTGAAGGCCCAGAGGACACTCCCTTTGTCATAGCACTAAGAAATACACGGGGGACATAGAATCAGCACTTTTGCAAAGTGCTCTAGTGGCTGTCCTCTGTAGGCTGTGGATGAAGGCAGTAAATGTTACCCTTGAAACAGAATCCTGGTTTCCACAGGGACACTGAGATCACTGGGTGGCAGAGCTCAAGTAGCAGCACAGTAACCTTGAAAGGCTGAAGGGCAGAGTGTTAATCAGATTAGGTTATATTGGTTAATGGTAAGTTGATCTATGACATATGTGGTGGACAGTCCACTGAAGTACTCTTTCATCTGTATAATAATAATGATAATGATAATGATTTAATCTAGATCTGGTATAAACATCCTTACTTGAGCCATGATAGTGGATTCTTAGAGCTGAGTCTGTTCATAACTCAGATGCCTTGAATGAAGAAGAGGCCTCTTAAGAAAGGGTCTTTTGCCTTTATGTTGAATGTTGAGCATGATCATGAACAATTGTATACTTTTCCATCAGATCTCTATCTTTTTGCATCACTTCTGTTATGTTCTGATCTTCAGGTAAAGAACCTACACTGTGCCTATGGATGCCTTTACTATATACCAGACAGATATGTGATTATTGTTCTCTAATTGTTAGTACTACAGAAGCATAACCCAAGAGATATCTGTCTCCCTAGGATGTCTGGAACAAAATGGCAAGAAAATAATGTTTGATATGAGTAGGAGTTAACCAGGCAGGCAAGTGGAGAAGGGCGAACATGGCAGAAGGAAACACATATGCCTATGCAAAGACTGGACTTTGTCACGTATGGAGAACCATGAATACGTGTATATGGATAGCCACATAGGAGGTATTTGGAGGAGTGAAGAAGGAGAAGATAGAAATAAAGAGAGGAACCACATCACTGTACTCTCCTAAGGACTAGAATCTTGACTGAAGGTAATGGACAGGCTCTTGAGAGGGTTTTGGAGGATGTAGAGCATGGTATGAAAGTGTAACTAGAATAGAGATAGAAATGCCAATTAGGAGATTATTGCAACAGTTTAGGCAAAAAATAATAGGACCTAAACAAAGACAGTGGAGTAGGAGGCAGGAGCTGGGAAGGTATTAGGTTAGTGACCAATTGGCAAGTCACAATGACTGCTAGGTGTGCGACGTGGAAGGCTGCAAGGATGGCCGTGCCTGTCTCTGCAGTCAGACAACAGATGAGCATGGGAGTTGGAGGTCTCTGTAGGCAGGTCCTACAGTAGCAGTCCAAGCAGGCAGTTCGATGTATGGATCTGTGGCAAAATAGAGAGATTTGTACCAGAGATAGAAATTTAGAAATGTAGCAGATGCTGTAAGTGTCCCATCTGTATTCCTTTGGCCCTTACCATTTCAGTGCATTCTGGCCCATCTTTTCATTGCCAGTAACTGTCTTCAGGGGTTGCCCTACCTGTGTTCATGGCAGGCTGGAAATGCTAAGGAATTAATGCCCCCTGGGTAGAGCCCTCAACCAATGACTCTTAGAGACTGTGTATAAATAGCCCAGCTCATTTGCCCCTTCCCTGAGATAACTCTAGAGGCCGTTTTACACTGTTTCCTGGAGCTCCCAAGCAGGACTAAGCTCTTTGGCCCATTATGGAATCTTGCTCATTAATGTTCACTTGGTTGGCTCCCTTCTCTTCCCTGTCTCCCTTCCTTACTCCCCGAATGGTGTTTCCTGGCATCACCTGAAAAATAAATGACTTGCATTTAAATCCCTGTCTCAGGATCTGCTTCTGAGGAAACCCAAACTAAGACAAGTAGTAACGGACGTATGGGGAAAGTCGAAAACTAGGTGGTAGTGGTGATGGGGAAATAAATGAGATCACCCAAGAAGAAAGGATAGGCTGATAATAGACCTCAGTAACACCATCATTTATGGAGCAGGATGGGGAAGACAAATCTGTAAAAGAGCTAGAGTAGGAGCAATCAGAGGGGAAGAAGGCAAACCAAGGAAAACTAGTGTCCCAGAAATAAAAGGGGAAAAAAAAAGACTTTCAAGATGAAGGGAGTAGTCAACCATGTCAAGTGGTGGAGAGAGATCAAGTAAGAAAAGAACTGAGAAGTGTTTATTGTTTATTGCATTCCTTCCCAGTAGGAAGTCACTGCTGAACATCATCCTGTATAGAGAAGAGGGAGTAGAGCTTGCTCAGGGTATTTATTCCCCTGGTTCTCTCGGAGGGAATACCTTGGCCTGGTTGCATCCCTTCTCTGAAGTTGGTTGTTCCTTTCAAAACAGCCTCCTCTACACAACATTCTCCTCCTGGGTTTCAGGAACTTCCTCTTCCCTTGTCACTTTGGACTCAGAGATGCTAACTCCATTACTACTAGCCCCAGGTCACTACACTGTCCCTTGTGTTCTCCTATGCCCTAGTGGAACCTTTATAAATGGTCCCTTTTAAAATAAACTCTCCTTAAATTATCCCAATTTGAGGGTACCATCTGTTTCCTATTGGAAACAGACTTATATGGAGGTTTAGCCAAACTATTAATAAAATTTATATGTTGCTTTATTTGTTTTATATCTAGCAGTTTTACAGTTTTTCAGAAAAGATTTAAGGCAACCATTTTAATAAGATTTTAATAAGAGGGAAGAAATGATCATGTTATAGGGGAAGGCAGTGGCTCTGAGATTTTTGTTGTTTGTTTTGCCTGGGGCAGTATTATGAACAATGATGTTCACATGTGTAATACACTCTCATAGAAATGCCCACGCATTGTTACTCTGGATTCCAGTTTTCAGGGATCTATAGTGCTGTCTTCCTTCAAGAGCCCTGCTGCATAAATGTCTATGAGTAGCTGAGATAGGCTGCAGGCTACAGAGAATTCCCAGGTAGCAAACTGGGGCTTTCTTACTCAAAAAGGCATAGCAGAGAGTGAGAGCGATATTACAGGGCAGCTCTTGAAGACTAATTTATGTAAACAGCATAAAAAATCATTGCTAACAAGTTGCATGGGCACCCTACTAAGTTGATTGCCTCTGCAATTGGGAGCCCCTGGAGTAGGAGGAAGGAACCAGGGTATAGGGAAAGGTTAAACAAATATATATCAGGGAGGGGAGAAAATTGGGAGCTGGGTATTCAGAGAAACCATAGTGTTATAGGAGTCCCTTCTGGGGGGAGGGGGAGAAAGAAGCCTCTTGTCCTTCCTCCATGGAGACACAGAGAAGAGACAACCTTCTGGGCAGAACATTGAACAGCTGTCCCTTCTGCCTGTAACCCTGCCCTCACACCTCAAAGGTTAGAAGATAATTAGTGAGATAAATCAACTTAGCTTTTCTATGGGACTCTTTGAGACAACCTGCTCTTATTTCAGATTTCTCTTTGTATGATGCAACTTGCAATGTTTGCTACATGATACTTCTGGCTCCTGAGCTCAACAACATTTTATAAGAACCAAATAATACTAAAGCAAAACTTCTAGTTCTAAAGAAATGGAATTTAAAATGTGGTTTAGACCTTTTGATACTTTTATTGAGAGAAAATAGGACAAATGTAGGTGGTCAAATTTAGTGGTTATAAGTTATTATTTTGCAACATATGCGACTCTGGCCGTCTAAATGTCCATGAATCCTCGGGCCTTCTGGGCTCAACCTTTAGTTTACTTTCTTAATAAAGTGGCTAGAGTCCCTTCACATGAGAAATAAGTCTGCTCCCCAGCAGAGCTGAGAATGCCGCAGGGGGTGGAGTGACTCACACTCTGACCGCATCTTTTAGTTCTGATTTCTTACCTCTGGCGGTT